GCATATTAGGTACACACAGACGTCGTGCATTGACCGGCAGCATGCGGAGGGGGAGGGGGAGGGGGTGGGGGTTGCCTTGACAAGGCCAGTCGGGCCGCCGGCTAGTCCGGACGGGCCAGGCAGGTCGGGCACGTTGCCGGCGCCCGTCTCAGCCATAGCGGTGACGATCATGATCTGGAGCCAGCCCGCGGTCGGCGTCGCCTCGAGCGACGCGAAGCACCCGACCGGCATGTCAGCAAACTTGAGGCCCGCCGCCTGAGACAGGTAGCCGGGCAGGCGGACGCCGGCGTGGATGGCGAGGATGTGGACGAAGCCGAGCATGGCGGAGCGGCCGTGCTTGATCTCCATGATCTCGTACCGGCGCATGTCGCGCTTCTCAATCAGGCCGAGCGGGTCCCACACGCCTGCGGCGGCCGCAGAGCCCGCGGGTCGGCGATGACCGCTTTGGGCGCGGGCAGCACGCGCGGCGGTGCGGCGCGCACCGAGCGGCGGGGTGACGCCGATGTCGCCCTCGTTGAACATGGTCGCGCCCACCGCGCGGGTCGGCGCCCGCACCACCGTTGGGGCGGAGAAGGCAGGGACGGCACTGTGGATCGAGAGCCTACGGGCACAGCGGCAGCAGCGGCGTCAGCGCGCCACGCCGAGAGAGAGGCGGCCGGGCTGGGCGGCCGGGGGGCGGTCGGGAGCTCGTGATCTAGTGGTAGCCGCGAGGAGTGGCGAGCGCAGTGCGGCGGAGGGCATCGGCTTACATGGGTGCAAGACAGCGATCTCCGGAAGCGGATGAGCTTTATTGGGGCCCGGCCAAGAAAAAGTCCAATGGGCCCGACTCCCTTCCGAGCGAGATGACGCACCTTGGCCATTTTGCGGCCCGCCTGGAGTGTCGCGATCCAAGACTTCGGGACAGCCAAGTCGCTCTGCACGCACTTCGAGACGCGGGCGAACTTGCCAGGAAGCAAAATTTTAGTTTTATTTTTCTGAAACCACGTGTGGGGTTGCGAGTGCACACAGAGCGAGCAGTAGTCGACAAAAGCACTGATCTGTGGGCAGCAGATCTCCATGTCGGTCGCGCCCTGCGAAAGGACAACCCCGCGGGCCGCGGATGCTTGCCCGGACGCGGACCCGCCGCCGCCGCCGCCCTCCACCTCGCCCTCGCCGCCGCCACCA